TTAGCTGGGCTACTCGATTGGGGAGATACCTCCTGTTTTCCGGAACATTTCGTGCACAAACCAGTCTGTCAACTTATCACCTTTCGTTTTGACGCACTGCTATCTCTCACGCGGCCATTACTGCATGAGGTGAGTAGCCAGTTTGCCAAGTTGTTCCGACGACGAATTAACTGCACTGGCTCGAAAACGTTTCAGAAACTGGTGCTTACGCCAAGTCTACCATTTATAAAGTTCTCTGTGTGCAGTCTTTAGATAGAGGAGCTGTGCGACGAAACATGCGTGCCTCTGAAAACCCTTCTTTGCAATATCCCTGTACCAATGCGGCCACTCCTACTAGACTGATCAGTGACAACGGGATAGACATGCACTCACAAACGCATAGTCCAAGACTTGCAAAAATTAGATGATGATCCCGAAAGTAACGATGTTGCGTGTGACCATTCCGAAGTTATCCTCGCTGTAATTCAGTTTTGTGACCGAGTTTTACCAGCTCCATCCACCTGCAGCTAGTCTAGAAACTCGGCAGCTGGGTTTGAGAAAATCCCGAGTAACCTGCTCCTGTGATACAAGAGCTAAAGTATCAGCTAATCCTGAGGCATTATTCCGTTTTTACTCCATGATTACTCCGTCATTATTATCTTTTGTTTATTTTTCTACAACTGGCGTTCAAGCCGCACTCTGTGATGAATCTAGGCCCGAGCGTTTTTCTGTCGAGAGTTCATCATAGGCAAGCGTATCAACGCCCTTGCTTTTTACCGTGAACGTTATACCGAAGGCACTATTTTGTATTCTGCACCATCATATCAGCAATCTGTGTAATGCATATGCCGCAAGCATACAGATAACATCATAACGCACCCGCATCTACCAGGTTATATATCCGGAAACAATGGTTACTTGCTCCCAATGTCATAATACTGGGCTGGTAGGTAAGCTTTTCAAATGTATCCCCACTGCGGTCAGCCGAAAATCTGCGGAAGGGTTTGAACTAACCTTAATAAATCAGGATAAAGCTAAGAACTAAGTTTCCCAGACAAAGTAGTTATGGGTCACAAATCAAGGAACTAAAACAAAATGACCAATTCACCTTAACTCGTTGTTTCTTCATGGCATAAGGAAGGATGTAACGACTTTTCCCGTGTCAGCCATGTCGCTAAATTGTGTTAAATTCCTGAAGAACTTTAATGAAATCGCATTTGAAAAGCTTTAGGTGAGTCTAATCTGAAGAAAAATCGGTATTTAAAGAGCGAAATCAACTAGGCAGCCGTGAATGCAGCTGATCCTTGAAACTGTGCAGAAAAACTACAATCACACGTTACTTAATATCAAGTGAGCACAGGAACACGGGACAATCTGCGTTGTACGCAAATATAAGTGCGCAAAATGCCACAAGCAACCATGTCAGAACAAAAAAGCTACATGATGCACTTGGTAGGGAGAAGCAAAGTGTGGGACACCGAAAGGACGTTACCAGAACATGATGAATGCGAATTTATCGCCCAGTTCTTCCACTGCTGCTTAGATCAGAACCAGATTCCTGTGATGTGATAACTTGGACTAATAACACCTATACACAATGACGGAAGCAGCACTGAGCCCTCAAAATACCGCCCAGTGTCTCTTCTCCCTATATTATATTGTCATGGAGTCCATTATTGCCGATGCGTTGGTGCGTTATCTAGAATATTGTAACATTGTTGCTCCTGAGCAACACTGCTTTCGTCGACAGCAATCATGCACTACAAATTTATTGGTCGCGCGAAGTAGTTGGACCGAGTCAGCTGACGTTGGAGAGGCTGATGTGATCTACTTGCACTTATTAAAGGTATTTCATCCTTTAGGTCATCGGATTCTCCTTTCCAAGCTCTAGTCTTACGGATCGGTGACCCCCTCTTGAGCTGGATCGCCAACTTTCTCGCGCAACGACAATTAGTGGTGAGTGTCCGGAGTTCCCTATCTGAACCCATACCAGTCGAGTCTGCTGCGCCCCAGGGCTCAGTTCTAGGTCCATGGTTCTTTTCGTTATTCATCAATGAGCACGCAGGTAAAAGCACTTAAAATTTCCTGCTGTTTGCTGACGATATCATGATATGGCGTCGGATTCAGGCAAATGTCCATCATAATCCACAGCAGCGTGACCTAGATAGGATACATGATTGATCCACCCGAAATCTGCTACAGTCGAACGTGAACAAATGTAAGGTATTCTCCATACGACACCAGAGTACTTATTCCTACAGGCTAGGAACACAAGTATTTCAGGGACCATCAGTCGAACGCGACCTTGGCGTGCTTCTTCTGGATAACTTGGGTTGTTCCAAGCAACCCGTAAAAGCATCAAAAACTGGTGACCAGCAAATCAGCTTGTTGCAACGGTTGTTCGGACAACTAGACACCCTACTTCCAGATAGACGATGAATGCGCATGCTAGTCCCCATGTTGAACGCAATCGCATCCAGATAGTCATGGTTGGCTACCGAAAGTACATAAGGATAGAGTCCCACTACGAACAATCGTCTCGATCCCCGGAACCTCATCATAAAAACTAGCGAAGGACTTGTGGTGGAGGTTGAAACATTTGATTACTGGACCCGAACATAGCATCAACAATGCTGAACAAATCGGCGGAGTGTCAGCATAGAAGATGACGAAATAATGGTTTCATTCGATGTCACCGCACTCTTCACTTCAATCGGTCACGAATTCGCCAATGATACCATGTTGGAAGTACTTGAGTATCAACTAAGCGCAACCCAAACCATACGACCCGAATGTTTTGGGAACTCCTGTACCTCTGCATGACCGCCATTTTCCGCTTTGATGCACAAGTATACCAGCAACTGAGAGGAACTCCCATGGGATCCCCAATTTCGGGACACAGTGCAGAAGACGTAATGCAGAAATTGGAGCGCATCGCCCTGCCATCTATCAGCCCAAAACTCTGGATACGATACGTGGACGACACATTTGTCTTCGTAAAACGGAACCAAGTACAAGCCACGCACGAGTTGCTCAACAACACGTTCGGGGATATCAAATTCACGATTGAACTAGAGAAGAATAACAAGTTGCTTTTTTGGATGTACTTGTCACTATGAATCCAGACTGACGTGCGTATATGGAAAGAAAACGCATCCGGAACAGATATTAAACTACCACAGCAAACACCCGATACATCACAAGAAGATCTGCATTCAAACCCTATACAAAAGAGCGGAAACTCACTGCAGCACAGCCGAATTACGGAAGCAGGAAGGAAAGCACCTATATAAAGTGTTTAGAAACAACGGTTATTCGAGAAAATTCATCAAAAGAAGCCTAAAGGAACGAACATCTCATCAACAGCAGCAGTAGTCACTTGAGCAAGCAAACAAACGAATAGTGCTCCCCTTAATCAAGCATGTCTCCGAACTGACAGGAAGAATGCTGCAGGCACATTTGATCTCTGTGGCTCACAAATCAAGTGCCACCATAAGGAAATTGATCTCAAGACCCAAAGAAAAGTCAATCAAGCCGACAAATGCAATGTCGACTATCAGCTAAAGTGCAACGACTGCGGTAAAATCTACGTCGGACAAACTGGAAGGAAGCTTTGTACACGAATCACCGAACACAAGGCGGCCGTCAGAAGACATGATCCGCACTCATTGGTTTCTGCGCACGAAGATCAAGAAGGCCACCATTTCGATATGGATAATGTTAATATCCTAGCACATGGAAGTACAAAACACGCCAGGGAGTTTTTGGAAGCCTGGTACTCTACAACGACTTCAACCAAGCGACATATCGAACTGGACGCAGTAAACGCAACACTACTGTCAAAAGACCGCAAAATCCATCGATTGAATCCGGTGAAACGTGTGGCTAGCCAACCAGAACTGACGACAGACTCGCTCACAAGCGCAAACAGACAAAGGCCACGGAACACAAGGAGTCAAGGTCAAGGGTCATCTGCCTATCAACCAGGCTGAAAGTGGATCGAAATCCCAACCAATAAGATTGCTCGCCTCCACGGGCAGCCAAGGCGGTATAAAATCTCACGCACACCACGCTCAGCGCACTCTCACCGAGGCTCATCTGCGCTATTCTACGCTACCGCACGCCACTCAACTACGCACTGATGATGTCACCTCGATTGGTGACGAAATGTTTGCAACCAAATTGCGAAGCTCAGCGAACATTTACACTTCCAGCAGAACAACCTGAGCTACCAGTCTTCAATTCTATTGCCAGGTTTACTTGTTCCTGACATGTCGGGTGTAGCTGTGTTTTCTGCACATGCCCACACACGTTTAAACTCAGCCATCTACACGGGCTACTACGTTTGCTAATTATTAATTAGTGATTTACTGCAACTCGGTGAATTGCTGACGGCTCTACTTGGGCTCATCGGCCGAACATTTCGTAAAGCTTGGATCACCAATTTGTCATACCTGTGCTTGATCCATGTGCTCGAAATCCATTAAATGGGGCAGTTATTTTCTCGGGTACAAAGTGGCGTTCATTTCATTGCCGCTTGCTCTGTTCACAATAATATGGATCTTTACCATATGAATCCGCCCGCTTTTCAGATCAGTTTGATAAACTTGGAGTCGACTGGATGCATGGAAACCTTGATCTCTGTAGGTCCAATTACTTGTCTGCGTTCTCACCTTAGTGAACCGCTCTAAATTATCATTTCCACCTCCAAACACTTTTAGATGTCCCAGAAACAGACATATCATAGCTCACCAAAAATATTTTGGAGCCAGTCGGAGCACTCGAAATCCCGTTTTAAATGCTACTGTCCTTTCGAGCTTCTCGGAATTCACACGACTATTGCGTGGTATTGGGAGAAACGGACGCAAGTTCTGTACTGTCACAAAAGCAATTTAGTGAATTGTTTGTTGGTTGATATCATCCAATCCCTCATCCATCATCATCCAATCCATATTTGCGATTGGTGTTAAATTTTGTAGTAATGCGATTTATGTTGGTTATATGACAGAATTACTTCTTACTCGACCGTAACGGCTCCGAAATATTATAGGTTTGACATTTCCTTCTTTCGGTAACCGTATCAAACCTGCAAATATAAAAAGCTATGGAAAGTACAATAGAGGACTTCAGCTTAAATCCCCCTATAACAATGTAATCAACAAAAGAACGTATTCTATACAGAAATATTTAATACCACATTATACTCGAGGGCTTTTGCGTGGAAATTTGCTGTTGAGATTGGGTTATCAATTCATTTACCGTAAACTGATAAGTGATATGCATATGTCGAGAATGACAGTTGTCGTGGTCGTGTTGCCCGTACAGTTAACGCACGGAATCAGGTGGGCTTCTGCGATTTTCTGTGCGTTGTGGGCTTAAGTTGCCACTGTCAACTTATCAGGCTGGGCAAGATTCGTAGCACAATATCCTTTGAAGTCAATGACGCTCAATTCACACCCGACACATGTGATACGCACCGCTGACGGTTACGGAAGCCATGAAATGACGATAGAGTGCTTCACAAGCATCATAACTTCATGAGGCTAGTCATAATGCGCTCGAGATACGCCATTACACTCTACTAGATGAATTTTCAGAGACTAATGTAGTGAACCAATCCGCAGGTGCAACGACTGTTGACTTCGCAACTTCTAAGTCCTCGCTTACTTATATTGATTTTTATTAGTTGTGTGTAGAATGGGATCTCATTTCTTTAAGTTTACGTGAGCACCAGAAATAGTTACTCTCAATGAGTTACAACTGCAGGTGAACATTCGGTTTGCGTCTGAGCCACTTCACTCGGCTTCAATGCGAAAGATACCCGGATGTATGCACTAAAGGGAAATAAAACCTTTCATTCATTGCGTCTCATGGTGATTTGAATTGTAAATTGCTATTCAGAAAATGGAGTTTATTTGCTTGCATTAAAGATGCGCGAAATGCAACTGACAAGTTTGTTCTGCCAACTGTGTGTTCGTGATGGTCAAGCTGCAAGTTGCGCGAAGTGGGAGCAGCAGGTGACGCCTTCTATTGGCTGCGCCAATACCATGCTTCCCAATAACGTCTGTCCACACTGCGGCAACGCTTCCAATGCGCGCGTTAGTTTCACCCATTAGCAATAGTTGGTCACTTCTCAGCACAGACAGAACACTGCAGATAACTGAGCGTTTTATGGATTCTTTGAATCAGCAGGTTAACACGGTATAGCCCATGGTGCTAAAATAATCTACAAATTCATCACTTTCAATGCGTGGACCTAGCGTCCTCTATCGTAGGATGATCCCAATGGGCTCAGTCAGCAAGTGGCAATTGATTCGGTCGGATTGTGCAAATTCTGCCCCATATTCACTTTACATTGTTGTAACGATTGCCATTCAATCGAAAGTATACCCAGAATCATCCTGATGCAGCTTGCGTTCGTCAGCAAGCCGTGTCTCTCTCTCCGCGCAGCAGTATCCATACCGCAGTGTGCAGGTTTCATTGCTACCAATGCCATGCGACACTCATTGCTGACCTGACCAAGCGGTGTGCGCACTTTCCAACACCCGATGTTGAGCGCTCTTTGCGGAGGTAATTGGTTACATCGTTCAGTGGTTCGTGTGGCAACCTAGATTGCAGGAATTAGTAAGTTATTTGAAATAGGTACTGGTACAGGACTCTATGTCGGGGGAAGTAACAAGGGAGGCATCAGCAGTGACAAGTTGTCGCTGCTTCACAATATTCTATATCTACGCTTTGATATTTCCTGTGAAGCAAAACTTTGTCATTCAACATCAGGTGCATTCTAAACACACATCGCCTCGTAAACTAATCCAGTATTCACCTGCATTCTTCGTTCTACTTTACCAGCCGATTCAGTGATGAGTTCGCATTCGACTTGATGCGATGATGTTGCATGTGACTCAAAGGTGAACGTGTCCACTGAGGATTCGAATGTGGTTTGTAAGCATTCCCTTTGTCATCTTTCCTCTACAACTGCCCTCCCAATTAAACCCTATCATGTTTAGATTACCAATAAAAGTGTTAAGTAGCAGTGCTCGTGGAACAAGAATTGATCGTGCTAACGAAGTTAGTTTTCCTTCTGAGGGCGGGGAAAGCAGTGGCGTATTGCAATAAACTATCTTCTAACGACCTGTTGAATGTGCTTGCGCAACAACGTAGTTTAGGCTACGAGATAACACATCACTTAGTTCATCGTCCGTAATTCGTAAGTGCATGAGAAGTTCATTCTTCGGAGCAATGCACCTAGGTTGCTTGCATTCAGGTACGCGCAGATACTCCTGCATAATTTGTCCGGGTATTTATTTGTTCAAATGGCGTCACTGATATTCTGCAATTCCTCATTCACGGTATCTGTTGTACAGATGTTGGGAGTAATGATGGAACAGAAATGCGACATCACCTATTTTTACTGCGATGGTATTGCGTTTTGGAAGATAGCAGACCGTCCATTCCATGTGCTTTTCCTGTGTATTTTTCTGCTGCGAATTCCAGTGGCGTTTCGGATAATGTTCACATGCAACAACGAAAGTTGTTCTCTAGACTCTAGTCTGTAGCAGAAACGAAGACTCGCGACGGTACACCATGCTTTTCCAATTTTCTACATTCGAACATGTCATCGATATAACTTGCATATATTTCGACTTCGATGATATAGGTCCGTAGTGAGCCATTGTCTAGTTTTGTCAAATATAGGTAACTCAAAAGAGGTCCTCAATGGGATCCTAAGGCCACTCCATCCATCTGGAGGTACGTTTCAGCAATGAATATGAACCGAACATTTAAGCTGCATCGAGGTTACCAACCTTTGAGCAAATGTTTAGAAAAAGCCACCGATATGTACGGTTGTTGAGCCAATTCTCACACATGTGCCACGGTTTCGAGTAATGGAACGTTAGAAACAGTAACTGGACATCAAAGTTATCATCCATCTGTCTGTAAGGTTGGGATTGATTATCTGCTCAACAAATTCAAAGGAATCTCACACGCAGTAAGTACAGACAATTTTCAGCAACGGCTGCATATTTTGCAACATTCATTGGGCCAGAAAATGTTGTGCAGAATGGATCATGGCTAAGATTGCAGGCATCAAGGCGCACTCCTTAAAAATTTCAAATACATTCTTTGTGATTAGATTTGCTTGCGTCATTTGGCTGGCACATCCACTTGTCTGTGTTTCCAATTCTCTCGGGTTTTCTCCTCTCGATGTTAGCTTTTGAAGCTTAAGTTGATATTAATTATCGGCTGCATTTTACGAATGTAATCAGCCCTATCAATTAGAACTACACCGGAAACTTGGTCTGGATAAGAAATGAATGTTTCACTGTTGAGCCACAACTATTTAATTGATAGTTTCTGTTCCCTGGAGATGATAACATTGTTGGCATGTTTATCCCTAGCTTATCCTTGACAAATATACACAACATTAGACATCAATTCTCAATATTACTAGAAGAAGTTGGAAACAGGTCTCGCGTTTGAGCCATTAGGCTCTTAGACTGTACTTCTAAAGCCGCCTGATACGTTTTTCTACAAGGAATACAAAATTTGGAGACTAAGGATAACACTAAGCTGTGACGAGCTGAGTGTGATACTAGAGCGTTACAACACATGATTTTCGGGTTTCACCGAGAAGCTTATCTGTAGAGCCTGTTTGCGCCAATCCCCTTAGAATAATCTTTCTCGTTTCGCTCCATCATCAAACATGCGGAACAACGGTTACTTCAGCACATGATGTTCGGTTCACTGCCCTTGTTCTCACAGTCCAGATCGTTCGTGCCTTTGAGTGCTAGACAGCAATTTCTGCCGTTTTCCAGTCCGCATTTGATTAACAATGTAGTTCTCACACTGGGTTCGACGAATACTACGTCTTGTCTTAATGCTGCGATTGCACACAACCCTTCGCATATCTTGACGAAAAATGGATATTGACGACGCTGAGTCTCCACTTGGTCGCAGCCCATCTGTTCTCTATCCTAAAGGTGATATGCACGATCCGTCTATCATTCATCGGAATATCCGGTACATGACACAAACGTATATTGTCCAATGGTTGTCCCCATTCCTTGGATGCGGAGCTGCCCCTTGGCTTTTGGCATAATTCTTATCAATCGTGAAACTCTGCTTGCACCTGAGTACCCGTCGCACGTTCACTATCGCTTCACACCAGATCCGCTCCTCATAATTGCAGCACTCTGATAATACCACTTCTTTTGGTAAACAGAGCTTGGCATTTTATTTCTCAATCTCAGGGATTATAGAAAGTAGGAACTAGACAACTCGGTGTACACGTTATGCGCACAAATAAAGATATCTTGGGAGAGTCAATGTCTCACTGAGACTTGTGGTTGGGAAATCCTGACAGAATAGTTGTCTGCGGCTTTTCTACTGCTGATTGGTCTCATATTCTGGCGCTACCTCTTGCCGACTGTGAGTTGACAGTCGGATTATACTTACCATACTAAGAGCCGGGATATATTCACGTAAGTCAACAGACTCATTGTGCAATTACCGTAATCTTTCCGTTGCACATCTATGCTAAAAGGTCACTGTAAGTCACTTCAACAAACACAGCTAAACAAATACCCATAACATTCTACCCATAATACTGTATTGGCCGTCGCGCAGTGAGAACAGAAGAGTAGCCAAGTTTGTTGCATACAGCGTGGCGAGTGAGTGAATATTGCAACCTCATGCGCCCCATCTTTGTATTTCCACTGTCCCCACACTCCACTTCCCAACTTCTTTTTAACCTGTTCCACCCGACGTACACTAGGCGAACTCACCGATCACAAGTCACTGCGGAAGGCGCTCAAGTGTGGATGCTGAAACGTGCGCACACTCCCTGTCCGAAATTCCAATGAGTGCCCAGAGGAACACTCTGCACTTGTCGTCGTGGCAATTGGTAGCTTGGATACTTAGAATATCGAACTCATTTACTCGGCTGGTTGACCAAATTAAACGGCATGGTGCTGGAGATGGCTACGCATTCCACTGTGTAGGAGAAACCACAACAGCACCACGGGAACATGTGGCCGAATATGCTTTAGCAGTCCGCCCATATAGCATTGGAGCAGATTTTAACTCAATGTTACTGCAGCAAAAAGAACGACCGAACTATACTGCAATATCCCTGTAACGTTAAGAGAGGTGCAAAGTGCCATCGCAGCCACAAAACCATCAACTCGTCCAGGTCCAGATGGCATCTCCCCAACTGTTATAAAACTCGGCGGAAAAAATCTCGCTCTATTGTTATTAAACACCTTCACACTCTCACTCACTACCGGCTGCTTTCCAACTCAATGAAAGCAATCCATTATAAGGCCTAAGCACAAGGGGGCCCGAGAAATCAAGTGTCAAGCTACCGCCTAATAAATCACACCTCTGCTGCTTCCAAAGCCCTAGAGCGAATAGTCAAGAAGAACACTGTCCAATATCTTACAAGACTGGATCTGATCAACCCCTCACAGCATGGTTTTCTCTCAAAACGCTCCTGCGTTACATGCCAGCTACAATTTCTCGATCACATCACGACTATGATTGACAGAGGAATGGCAATTATTATAATTCTGTTAGACATGCAAAAGGCGTTCGACCGCGTGCCGCACAAGCCACTGCTGTCTGCTCTAGAGTCATATGGAATTGGAAATCCGCTGCTTAACTGGTTCGACTCATACCTAATCGGTTGAACTCAGGTCGTTAAAATCGGTCAGCAACATTCTACACCCAAACCAATAACCAGCGGTGTCTTCCAGGGAAGTGTGCTCGGACCACTACTCTTATTAATCTACGTAAACAATATATGTGACCCGATCAAACATGGACACCCATATCTGTTTGTAGATGATGTCAAACTGGTTTACTCACTTCATCCAGACCAACTACATATATGTTTGGGGAACATCCGTGAAGACCTATCCTCACTAAATATAGCTAGTGAGCGTTTATTAATGAAGTTCTCCGCAGTGAAATCCCAAGTACTTAGGTACAGATGCCGCATCCCAGAAGGCTCCATCATACTTGCCGGAAACGTGATCCCAACATCTGATTCAATTCGGGACTTAGGAATTAGATACCAACTCTTTCAATTTCTCCGAACATGTTCTTTATCAGGTTGCGAAAGCAAGGCAATTATGCGGATATATCACCACAATTTTTTCCCTACCTGAAGCACGACTTGAGTCATTCAAGACAATAGTACGACCGACTCTGGAATATTGTACTATCATTCACAGCCAATTGAGAAAGACAGAACGGCTCTGGAAAATGTTCAACGATCATTTACCAAGCTGGTCATGAGGCGCTGCTCAAACCTGACTTATTATGATCGCTGTCGAAAACTCCAACTGGATCCTCTTTGGCTGAGACGCTTAAAGAACAACCTCGTTCTCTTCTACAATATTATAAAACAACAAATTTACGCAGACAGCACCGCACTTGAACTACGGAAGACTACAGTCTACCCCACACGTAATGGCGGCTACTTGATACGTACAAACCTTTCAAGTCATAAAACTCGGTCGAATTTCTTCTTAGTGAGATACACTGATCTGTGGAACAAACTACCCCTACAGATACGCATGTGTACAAGTCATGTCACGTTTCGAAATCTCCTACAGACCTTCCTCACTATACCAAATGCCTTGAAGATATTTGACTCACAGCAAACTCTAGAAACATTGACAGAAGCTGGTATAAATGAGTAGATATTCGCTTACAACTAGCTTACCCACTACATATCATTACCTACGATACCAAATCCCGTGTCTTTGCAGCCTAGTAGTTCCTCCCTTTATTATCTACTCCTGATGATACAAACATCCGTAAATTTTACATATGATGAGCACGGGTCTAGCACCCAATGAAAAAAAATCATGATCCGAAATTCTATTAACAAACTGTTCTTTAATATTATGGAACGTATGTACTATACAAATGATCGCTCCCACTTATGGGGCCGTGTACCGTCTGTCGGTAAATATACAAATTTATTTATTTATTTGCTTTATTGATTGGTTATTTTTATTGGGTAAATTAGCACCCTTCAGCGCGATGTACTGCAAGTCTCCGCGTTTCTTACTAAACGAGATCAGTTGCGCACTTCGCAATATTGCAGACGACTAACTGGTCACTACTTTTCACTCTTTTCCTTTCTCATGCTTTACATTACTTGTTTCAATGATAGATGTGATGTGTCCATTCTGTATGGATAGTTCACGTGAAGCAAATCGTACTTGCGGTAGCAAGTACTAAGCTAAGCTGAGCGAAAACTCGGCCAGAAGTGCACAGCATGTCCCGCGAAACACAGCGGCTCTTGGTCTGAATTTAGCAACTAGCTCTATTGTCGTCAAATATTAGACTACGTTGACTAACAAAACCCACGTGGCAACTTCAGGATATTTAGCACTCAGAGTGCTCCTCGTCTACTTTGGTTTGCTGAGGCTTCGGTGATTCGGCGGTTGAAACCAAACGTAAGCAAGCAAACGGATTTCGTGACCACGCTAGCCCTCCCTTTGGTGAGGCTAGTGAATACGTTTTCCTCGGAACGGGTCAAGTGAGCCTAAATGCCTTCGACCGCTTTGAACTTTTCTCGTTAACATCGCACTCTGCTTGTCTTTGCTATGTAACCGTTTTAATCCACTAATTGTATGTAAACAGCCGAAGAGAATACGCTGTTGCAGAATGCAGTAAATTCTGTTCTACTGTTGTTTATTCTTGCTAAGCGTCGAGCAATTACATTCGTGCCACTTAATGATTGTTTGTACCTTTCTATTATCCGTGCAGTTAACGATATCCTATGTATGAATATAAGTGAGACTTGCATCGTGTCTCTCCGGAGATTTGCGCTGAGTTGTTGGCTCTTCTAGTTATATTTTAGATAGAAGAGCGCCTATGAAGCGATAACCGCTTTGCTGAATTTGATTGACGTAGAGCCATCCTTCACTGAGTGCAGCACCTAGCGATTGGTTAGACACAGATAGTTGTCGGTCTTGAAATCAGGTAGATATCAGTTCATGATTGAAGAGTTATATCAATTTACTAAGAGTAAAAACTGAGATCAGTGAACTTACTGCGAGGGTGTTTGACTAGTCGCGGCCGATACTCTATCGCCCTCGGACAGTCGCATTGACAAGTAGGCAATTGCCAATCGAATTGTTTGGTTCAACATCAGCTGTTGTACATTAAACCGATAGCTTCCATTGTCGCTGTAGTTCTCAGCTATGTAAGTGGATGATTATGTTTGCAGGGCACATATGAGAAGTTCAACGTCAAACTGTACCACACTTGCATCATTATTGAGTAACACGTATCAGTGTACAAACTTTCAAAGACTTTGTTCAACTCACACGGAGTGTGTCAGAATCTCTTTTTTATTCATTCCATACATTCTGGGTGAACACTTATTCGATAGGATATAGGTATTCGCCAGCGTTGAGGCAGCTGTCCGTGCGACTGATCGGCTTCCATATCCCAGATGTTGATTTAGCAGATGGTCAGTTGTGTGCATCAATGAGGCTCTGACCATTCGTAAGGAAGTAATGCCGTTAATTTAGCGGTCAGTGATTCGTTGCTCAATGTTCTGTTCCATCTAGCCCTAATACACGAATGTAGACACAACAGAGGTGCTAGGAGAACATCACTCAATTTAGACACGAACTCCGAATGAGTGATAAGTTTATGCACAGTTTGATCTTTGACAGCATGCATCCGGTGCTGCACCGGAGCAACTGCTGAGATAATCTTCACAGCATGGATTTTCTTAAATCTCCCATCCACTTACTGGTGCCTCAATATCTACAATTCGCCTGCACCAATTCTTCTTCACTACAGAGCTATAGTTCCTCCTCCGCTACACATGATTGGATCCCTTGTCACATTACTTGCAATTTTTGTGACGCAGATATCAGCGACTGTTGAATCGCAGACTGACCACCTGGACTACCGCCGTCTCTGACTCCGCCTACCCAACGTTGACATTTTTGGACTGATTGTGTCTTCGCGCCCATGGTATTATCACAGTACAGTATAGGGGTCTGGTTTGTTGAAATACCTTCATTTAACCATGCACGTGACACGCTTTAGAGCTTGTTAGCTGCAAGCGCATTCTTCGCACGCGGCAATTCTAATAATTTCCAAAGCTACGATTTCTAATACGCATTTCACATTTCTGACAGATGCTGGAGAAACCGTACTACGCTTAGGCTGAAGCACCGGGTTTATTCTCTTATACAACGTCGCCACCCCAACGCTGTCGCTTCTAGGAGCGGCTCAGAGCTTCCTCGCGGAAGGCATAGCTTCGCTGCCGCACACTGCCACGTCAGAAACAAGGCCGAAATTTTGCAACACCCCTTGTGTTTCCTTCTATGGTTTAGCAATAAACAGTGGTCATATGCCTGTTAAAAAGCAATAGTCTACTGGTCTATTGGTTAAAGTAACAAATGAAAGAGGAAATAGATAATTAATTCATTGTTAATTCTAGGATTTACACATTTATGTGTTTGAGACAGTAGTCCTTCCCCTTTTAGTCTCACAGCACGAGTAGAGAACGGACGCTAAATGCAAGGTGGTTGCATAAGTGGAACGGATCGTTATTAAATTGGGCAACATGCATAAGTCAATATTCTCAGTGCGGAAACGACTGATTGTGGGAGAGAGTTTTGTAGATAACATACAAGAATTACTTGTGGATTTTGTGAGTAGTGTAATGTTCGTAGAAAGTAGAAGACACGAGTATACTGCACACAATAATCTGCCTCGACGGGGAATCGAACCCCGGTCCCACGAATTACCGGTCCGCTGCTCTACCACTGAGCTACCGAGGGCTGCCGATCAGGTGCGCAAATTAATTCAGCCCTCGGTAGCTCAGTGGTAGAGCAATGGACCGGTAATTCTTGGGACCGGGTTCGATTCCCCTTTGAGGCAGAATATTGTGTGCAGTTTAATTGTGACTTCCACTTTCTACGAACATACAAGAACAAAAGCAAGACAGCTGTGATATTTCAGGTGTCTGTAGTGTTCTGTTAGCTTCAAGAAATCCATTTTGCTTGGTGTTACTACTCAGCGACACACACGAGATGTATCGCGCAGGTTCATGTAGGCCATCGTCAAGTGACCATCGCAAAGTACCTGGCCCCTAATGGTGAGCGATGGTTTGCGTGCTTTACCGATTCATTGCTGTGCGCTGGTTGGAGCTTCTTACATCTTCAGCGTTATTCATATCAGGTTTGTCAGTGGTTAGATGCAAGACAAACTCATCCTCGTGGTCATCCAGATGGTGACTTGAATTGGTGGTGCTTTCTGACTACATAAAACGGACTCGTTTTAGGGTACTGATAAGTTCCATGCATTGTTGTCAGCTTTTGTAGCAAAGATTTGTTCCGAATTCTTATGGTCCTCCCCTCTAGGCCTGAGCACCATAAAAATATCCTGCAAATAAACTACCATGAACAGCTCTACAAACAATTCCTTGTTGTGCTGGCCGTCACAGAGAATATTTCAACACAGTGTTTTTACTGAATCGAGCTAGGTTGGTGTGGGTCAAGATGCTTCTGCTTGGAACTTTTCATCTTCATATTACCTATAGTACTCCTTCAATCATATGGTCCAGCTTCACATTTTGTTTAACCCCCAGGCTACTACCCTCAATTCCCAGTCATCAACAACCTCCCTTTAACATGAGTTTATCTTCTAGGTCCAAGTCAAACTCAAACACAGAACATCACTCATGCACTGTCAACAAGCCCATATCCATCCGAGTGGACAAGCCCAGTTTGTCGGTTTCCATTTAAAGCCGGAATCGTCGTTTATCTATCGTAATTTATTCTGCTAGCTAGAAGTATGTTTACGGGATTAGATTACAACTTATGCTTCATGGGCACTGTACCAACGATACTAAGCCTAAACTAAGTACGTCGTACGAAAACTAAACTAGAAACTACGAACTGATAAACCTAGACTTAACGCACGGCCTGGGCAGAAGAAGAAAACGAATTATCTTGTAACCGTGGTTCTATAAGGCATATTAAATACAGTACATGACTTCCGAATAGGTTTTTCAATCGTAGTGCAAGTGGGCAAAAGCTGTACAGCGTGGGGCAGATCGAGTATTTGGGCAGTGTCACATAAGAATGACCTTGAAACGTCAAGGATGTGTCGGTGATCGAGTGAAAGAAATGGATACACGGTATGTTAACCGCTTGTAAAACACAGTAAAGCAGTGTTAATGTGCAAGATAATCAGGGAAAAGAGATACCGTGTCCTCATGTAAGCAATATAGTTTGGGGATACATCAAAGTTCCTTTTGGACTTTACAGGCACCCTGGCCCAATCGACCGATGACCAATACTCAGTTGGATCGCATACAACCTCAGATATTAAGCTAATCAATAGCGGTGGTGGACCTTTTCTAAACATTTGTTTTACCCCATTTCAGCAAACTTGGTGGACGACCGGTTAACAAATTACTGGTGGTACACCACGTTTCGCTGTTGACACAAAAGCTTCATCAGGCGAAGTGAATTAGCTAAACATTGGTCGTTTACAACGAGCATGGATAAGCGACATACAGAGACTAATCAATTTACTGTTCATTGATGAAAGATTGCAACGAGCATAGGTCAGTAAGCTCGTGTGTACACTGTGGTTTTTTCAGTCAGTGTCAAATGGGTAAAAGAAACTTCTGGTGCGCGGTGTGGTCAGCAATCTTAACTGATCCGTGGCAAGGAACTTCGTCACTGATATAACTTGGCTTTAGTACTTCGGAATTTGGTGGAGGGAGAATCGATAGTCCATTCCGATTTGGAATCCATCCACCGATGCTTATCAACCTGGCTGGAGTAAGACTGGACGCCAGGCATTAGATAGCCTCACTCCGTCTATTCTATTCATGCAGTTGTCGTCCTTCGTTATTTCTAGAGCCTCAGCAACCAGCCTTTGTGTGGATGAGCGTAATCCCTTTCTGATAACCTCAACATTTTCGAAGTCTATTTCGTGTCTAGTGTCTAGCGAATGCATTGCTATTGCCGAGTCTCTGAGCTTCATACGCTAGCTCATTTCGCGGAGGTCGTGATATGTGTCGCCTATGTTCTGAAATCCTTGTACGTAATTCCCTCCCTGTTTGGCTTATATACACTTGCGTACAATCTTTACAAGGAAGTTTGTAAATGTACTTACTTGTTCTAGCTAAAGGAAGTGAGTCCTTCAGATGCACAAGCGTGGACCATAGCGCTTAACTCTTTTGGAAAACTACCTTTATCTTCAATACTCATGGAATCGCTTCCGAAGTTCCTTCGTTTTACGGAATACCCACCGTCGCTTTCCACTATGTGGTTGGTGTTGCCGGTTGATTGAAACATTTCTGTAGCTGTCGTTTCACCAATCGTTTCGGATATCTGCTAGCCATTAAGTATTTCATCGCCTCCCTCTTCGCTGATTTTTTATCTTTTTTCTCTGTGCAGTGAGCACTTGCTCTGTGAAACAGTGATGAGGCGAATAACGTGCGCACATGCTTCGGGTGTCTTGAACTGTAACTAAGTACCCCATCTGTGTCCTTTGGTTTGCGATAAGTTGTTGCTTTTAATCTTCCTTCGTTCCTATGCACCAGCCAATCAAGGAACAGAGTTGTACCGCCCTGCGACTCAAGTTCCATAGTGAAATTTATTGCATCGTCAATCGAGTTCAAATAGTTTAACAATTCCACTTTTCTAACTCTATTTATAATCGCAAAGGTGTCATCCACGTAGCGCCACCATACTTTCAGGGCACCACGGAAATTTGGTAATACCTTATTTTCAAACTCTTCCATGCACAGATTGGCTAATACGGGAGATATTGGAGATCCCATGACCATACCCTGTTCTTGAGTGTACATTCTAGACTGGAATGTGAAATAAGTCATGTCGAGACAAAAAGCTATCCCATCGACCAGTTGATCCACTGTCAGCTTTGACCTGTTCCCTAAGCTACTGTCATCTATCAATCAGCGTCTCCCTAATCGTAACGCTTCCTACTTGGGTACATTCGTGAACAGGGAGGTAACATCGAAACTAATCATCACTTCGTCTGATTCCATGCTCACTCCTCGCACCATTCGTGCAAACTCATAAGAGATTTTTACAAATGTGCTCGTTCTGCCTGTTAGGGGTTGTAGCAGGCTCGCCAGAAATCTTGCGGCTTCGTGTGAGGGAGAGACTATGCCACCTACTACAGTTCTATCAGTGACCAGGTTCCTTGCAACGGATGACTTAAGGTTGCTGACTACACATGTAACTATTCGCGCACCAGCAATTTCTTTTACCCACTTGACCCTGACTGGAAATAACCGCAGTGTACGCACGAGCCTAGTGACCTTTGACCGTTGTACTCTTGTAAATTAATTAGCCTCTGTATGTTGCTTAGCCATGATCGTTATAATATGCAAATGT